TGTGGGTGGCGAGGAAGAAAGCAAGGCAAAACTCAGCCCAGCTGAACAGGCAGGAGGGCGAAGCTAAACCCTAAGATAAAATAAAGAATAAATAAACTGTTTATCCATCAGACGACTGTCTTTGGGCATTTGATGTAGGCATCTTCCTGGACAGGGGGTTATAGAACACAGGCAGTGGGAAAACCGGGTCTTGCTGCTTTCAAATGCCACACAGAAGAAGCGTTACTTCCCCTGAATGGAACTGCTTTTCCAGACATTTATCGTTTCCTGGGGCACTGAAAAAAAATTACTTGTACAGACAACGTCTACAAGGAAGGAAGGAAGGAAGGAAGGAAGGAAGGAAGGAAGGAAGGATACAGTCTAGAATGTGTTTTGGTGTTTCTCTTGTTTACTGGCTTTTACTTTACTTTTACTTTAAACAGCAGTAATGGCGGTGGCGGCAACAGCAACAACAATGACAACAACAGTTACAAAAAAACGGTATTAGGAAGAGCATACATTCTGCCCTCCCGTCAGCGGCATAGGTGACTCCCTTTCTTTTGGAGAGACGACCCTTGCCACAAAGAGTGAGGTCCGCAGCTTGGGGATACATCTGGACCCGGCACTAACCATGGAAACCCAGGTAGGCCCAAATGTCCAGAAGGACACGAGACCTGGCTTACCTGCCTACAGAGAGGATGGTGATCTCTCCCGGCCGGCCGGCTTTGCTTCCTGGCTTTGTGAGTTTGCTGGCGGTGCCAGCCGGCGTGACGGCGACGGCGGGAGGGGCCTCCGTGGAAGGCAGCACCTCCGGCCACTTCTTCTGGCTGCATCGGGTGCAGGTGGGGCCAGAGCGGGTGGCTAAGCCCTGGACTGTGTGCAGATGGTGTTGATGCCGGCAGATGTGGGGAAACTGAGGCAAAAGATGCAGCCTAAGGGAAGGGAGGAGCAGGAGAGCCATGTGAGGAAAAAGAGAACACCCCCCACGGACACCCTGTCCCACAGGTTTGCTGTTTTGGCTTCAACCTAGCAAGGTCGTTTCAAACGATTCTACCCCAGAGCTGTAAGCGAAGGTTTAAGACCTGACAAACATATGCTGTTGTCGTCATTAGGAGCTGAACGACAGTCACCCGAACAGGATTTTCAAAATAAGTGAAATATTTGAGGAGTGGTTTTACCAGTCCAACCCCCCCCCCCTCCGCCCCGCCCCAGTGAGTTTTCATGGCCGAACCGGGGAATCGAACTCAGGGCTCCTAAGTTCTGGTCTGCCGTCCTGTCGACGGACACCCCGCGAGGTGCAGACAGAAATAGAGGAGGGGTGAACATGATCATGAAAAGTTAAGAGGAGGGGAATTGCAATTCGGCGGAGGTGAAATTCTTGCCTTCAGAGCCAGGTGCGAATCATGCCACGCCTAGAAATGGCTGGAAGGGACGCCATTTTAAAATCAAAGAGCAAAAGCCACCTCTTGCTCCCCTGGAAAGGCCATAAAGTGGAACATTTCTGGACCTTTCTTTGCAGAACTAAAACATTTTTTGGGGGGGGGGTGATTTGGGGCAAAAG